GGAACATGGAAGTCAATTCAGTCGCTTTTGACACACTGGATAAAGAGAGAAATATAAAACTGGACATGATCTTGCTTATTCTCTTTAAAGAGTTGTCTAAAATACATGTAACAGGACAATATTTAAAGGGTGACCTAAGGATTTGTATGCACAATTTAAGTATACTATGTGTTTGTCAAAAAAATGAAACCAAACCAAGCTCAAAAAACAGTTGATTACAAGAAATAAAGAAAGCTCTGTGGCCTAATGACTAAGGAAATCACAGGGCCAAGTTTTGGATCAGCCCCTGGGAGACCCAAAGAGAAAAGACTTCAATAGCCTCCAATCACATTTCCTTCACTGTAGCACGTGTTCATAAAACAATATGACAAACTGGACTTGGCTGACTTTTTCTGAGTTTACGCTACTTTGACTTTCACTCAAGTCTCAACTTTGCTGCCCGCTCAGTTTTCAAGAATGGACAGGCAAGGTTCTTTTAATTTTTCAAAAGCCACTGCCTATTTGCATATCTCCCGCAACGTGCACCACACTAACCTTGCCTTGCTGAGGGCTCCTTAGGAGACAGAATTCCTTGTCTGCTTTGTTCAGCAACCCAAAATGTAATCAAGTGACCACTCTACTGTAGAGGGAAGAAAGGGGAATATGTCAGGGCTAAGCACAATGGCGATACCATGGGAAAATTCCAAGAATCCTGTGAACCACGGTCCTCCCCCCATGTTGTGCCCCTGCCTCGCTAATCTTTCAGATTAGTTCAGCCTAAGGAAAGCTAATAACATATAAAGCAAGTAATGATACTTGTCGTCCATCTTGCTTTCATCTGCTTTTGTTTACTCGGCGAGTCTTGATTTAGCAAGGCTGGATTCTCAAAAAGCACCATCAACCGTCTCCCGGGGCTGTTTCATTTAGTGTTCACCTTGGGGAAACTTGGGGAAGGAAGTCACTGATAAGGATCGAGACACTAAAAAGCCATGATCTGTTCATGGAAATTCTGGAAGGGGTTGGTCTGATATTGTCTCTTTCCCAAAGACCATAGGTTCTGTTCCTCAACACAACCGACTCCTGTTTTTCTTAGCTTTCCTTTTATTGTGTTTATAAATACCAAAACGTGATAGAAATTCACACATTTTCAAAATTATAAAATATTATAATATTTTAAGTTCATTATCCAGCATTATTCTTGAGTTAATTTCTTGCTATGAAGGGAAAATTTTTTTAAATTTCAGGGCCAATTTTTTTTTAAAAATGTAGGTGGATATTATTTACTCTGAGGCAAACTAAAGCTATCAACACTATCCTACTGGATAGAAAATGTCCTTATATTTCCTTTTCTAGTTTTAATGATAAGTATGGCTACCAGGAAAAAAAGAATCATTTTTCTCCTTGCTGCATAAAAATAGGTCAAGTAATTTAAGCCAGTCCATTGCAATTAAAATTCTGACATTGCCATTGTTCCTTCTATTCTAGGGGGAGAAGACAAACAGAACACATGATAATAGGGGTTCATTGGCTAAGTCATTTGATGTGCTACCTATTGTTCTCTTGGCGAGGTTCAGCCTCAACCTGCCTGGGAGCTCTGATTTTGAAGATAGTGGTACAGTGCTAAAATGCTAAATCCCATCTCTGAAACATACATCTCTGAAGAGGGGCAATATTTCTTTTATGCTAGCAAAAAAATACCACTGGAGAGGAAAAAAATTGTTTGATGGTATGGGTCCTAACTTCCTTGAATTCCAAATGTATTTATTTGTTGGAGACAATGTTACCCGCCAGGTTTATTTTGAAGTAAATGTTACTGACTCAGTTAGACAGCAACACTCATTCTCATTAAAGACCCTGTGGTCCTTTTCACAAGATTAGAGCTGGTGGCTTGGTCACATTCCAGTGTGGATAATTGCATTCTGCATTCCTGGATATTTTCCTCCACCTTTCCAACCTCATACCATCAAACGCATTGTTATTTACACTTAACTACAAAGCAAAAGTCCTGTCGTGGTACAGAGTGTGTGCCATCCACATAGTTGACAGGCTAAAGCATTGACCCAAACCACTGCTCATTACATTTTCAAAAAGAAAATTGCTTAGCGAATGCATATTTTCAAATATGAGGCAGATCTCAATTATGTACACTTAATCATAGGTTAAGTTCTTTGGTAAGTAAAATGCTCCTATTTTTATAACGGGTGTTTATTCTGAAATCTCTCTTGATAAAAAAAAAATTGTTGTTCAGATATATGCTGTTTGCTTCAAAGAATAAATCGAAGTCTTCATAGAAGGCAAAACAAAAAACAAACAAACAAAAAACCCCACAAACAAACAATAAAACAAAAAAATCTCTTGAGGAAAAGCTTTCCTTTGACCTTCTAAATAAATTCCACAAGGGGGCGAGAACACCTAATGGTCCGGGGACTGCAAAGTTTATATTTCAAAGCTGGCCACCCATAATAGATTAGTGGATTAATATTTTGTTCTAAAGGATCTGGCCTTTAATGTTGACACCAATTTATAGCTATTCCAGGCATTTACAGTAGTAAAAGTCATGGAGACCATAAACTTCACAATAGATGTCAGCCTTCTGGTGCTAGTGCTTTAGACTAGCACCCCATAAACAGTGGTGATTAGGTAACTGTTCTTCAAAGACCCATCCATAGCTCTAACATCTTTATCAGCTCCAGCGAAGATACTGCCACCAGGATTTTATCAGGCAGGAGGCAGAGGGACACGTTTTTATTAATGCGGACTTATTTTTCTGAATGTATCTATGACTTTGTGCTGTTCCTTATCATTGATCTCTTCTTGAAAATCAAGCAAGGAGTGTCTATTTGTGGGCAAAGCTTAAAGAACAGAAGCTGCCTTGTGCCCATATTAGAACTTTTTGACAAACAGCCAAGGTACAGAGGTCAAATTTCCCCATATGCTATAAGCAACTTAGTAGGAAGCAAGACCACAAAAGGTTTTGCAAATGTCTGCCAGTAGCAGGGTGAACTAGGTCACTGTACAGGTTTCATTAATCAGGTTGTTCAAACAAGGAGTTATTTTTCTCTGCTTAAGAGACCTGCAGATATCACGCAGAATCTGCTTAATTGGTGATCGAGAACGAGTTTTAATGAAATAGAGATCATTTTAGTGAATGGTGGGGAGGGGGGTGGCTTTTATATTTGAACTGAAGAGAAATTGTGCTTTTAGCCCAGCTCCTCTGTTTGAGTCCTCTGCTGTGGCAGGGATTGGACTCAAGATCTAATAATAGTTCCCTGGGCTTTGCATCTCCACATACGTGTTCCGGTGTTTGAGCAGCAGGAGGAATTTAGTGACAGAGCAGGTGAGCAGGTGTTGTGGCTTATTCCCTGGCAGAATAAATGGCAAAGGGTGGTGGCAAGACAATTCTTTTGCTTCTTTATGCAAAAAACAATGTCTCCAATCGCTCTTTTTCTCTTTCCTGGCACAAGTGAAAAATGACTAGAATTGCTGTATTAATATGTATGCAAACATATTTTTTCACTCGAGCCTCTGGAAAAAAAAAGAAAAAGGGAAAGAAAAACTTACTGTGAAAATGCTTAGCCAGGAAGATTTACTGCTGATTGCAGATTTAGTATTGATATGTCTTAGCTGAAGAAAACTTCAGCTTTAACTATTAATGTGGAAATCTGGATCAGCTTTTAAAATGGGGTGAAAAGAGTTGTGGATGATTCAGTGTATCCTCAGAGACATTATTTATTTGAACACAATTTTAAATAAGAAAGTGTCAATTATAGAGGTATAAAAAGCCCAGTGAAGTGTGTGCATCTTAATTTTACATGACTTGACTTGGAAATAGAATTATAAAATGTAGGTGATCTGAATTATACTTAAATCAGCCTTTATGTCTGACTCACATTGTAACACTTGTAATCCCCCTCCCACTACTTATGAAATATGGAATTTGAGAATCCAAGAGTCTAACTGAAATGCTCTTTTAAAGCATTATTTTTGAGATTTTTCTCAACCTACTTTTTTTTCTTAACTCTCCCAGTAGGTTAAGTACAAAACTCTATATTTTTTTCTTGACTGTAGGTGTGCTGCTCCTATAAACATAAGATAAGCCATGAAAATATGAAAGAGAAAACAAAATTCCTTCTCCTTCCACCTGGGATAATTTGAGATTTTAACAATATTACTTTTTCCTTTGCTTGATTATGTAAGGCAAAACATGACACCCACTTAACTGTGGTTATAACCCTCTTGATAACTCATCTAGGTAAAATTAAAATGATCTTATCTTTATGTGCCTTGCAACCCAATGCATATAACAGAAATAGCTCAGAATTCTGGAAAACAGGGCATGTTTGAGAGGGAACATCTTGTGAAAATTGTAATTTGACCTTTGAATCAACCTCACTGAGTCCATTTTCAATATTATAGAACAAAATAGCCTCGGGGTAGGATTCTACCCCCTCTTCCTCTCAGAACTATAAACCAGTCAGAAGCTATTTCAGAGATTAAGCTGGAAAATGTGTGCCTATCCTTGGCACTTTTGCTGAGAAATAAATTCATCACTAGAGATAAAGGCAGATTTATATTTAATGCCACCCGCATCCATCACGCAGTATATTATTCCAATCTACCTCTATTTAGGTAGTTGCATCAGGTATACACAGAAACACTTTATTTTCTCCCTCCCATCCAGTAAAAAAGATCATGTTTAGCATAGCAAACCTTTCTAACTTTGGAGTACACTTGAATATGCTAGCAATTAAGAAAAAGAAAAAAACACTTTGACAACTTTGCAGCTTTTGATTAAACCACACCAAGAGGCATGTTACAATGATAACAATGAAGCATTATGCCAATTATGTTAAATCCTGCTCTCCGCTTAAGCTCATCATGACCTGTTTCAGTGTCCTGTAATTTATCCTTTGGAATGCTTACTCTCATCAATAAAGTGTTCAACTTAAAGACAGAAGGAAAAAAAAAAAAAAACCCACCAAAAGGAAAGACCACCCCCAAAATGACTTGTAGAGAACAAGTATTTCTTAACTTTTTATTGACATTGGCAAATTAAAATAGAATAAATTAACAAGTATTTTCTCAAAAAAATGTTTTGTACAAAAATACTGTCAAAATTTCCTAAAAAGCTTTCAACACAGTAGTATCTTTTCATGTACTGAATATAACTATTAGCACAGTGTCAAAAATGTTGAAGACAGAAACAAAATAAAAATCTGTGAAATGTTTGCCACTGACGACATTCCACACCCTATTATTGTCTGTACATATGGGGGGCAGGGGGACAGCCAACTTGAAAGTGAACAGTATGACTTTTCCTGATCCAGAACGGTTTGGCCCACATCTGTTTAATCTTCCAGTTTAGCATATTTTAAGAATTAGTCTGTACTCAAATGCATAGTTAAAAAAATGAAGCGAGATGGCAGAGTTTGTGCAGTAATATCTGCCCTTCAAAGTTCATGCAACCAACTAATGCAATTTTTCCTTTCACTCGTAAATCTGAATGCAGTTCAGTCATTTGAAACCACCTACGAAATCCACAAGATTAAGCAGTTTGCCAAGATTAATATCTAACAGTTGAGCACTGGAGAAAGTGAGGGAAAGGGGTAAAAACAAACAACGAAAAAGACCAAGTGAGCTAGATATCTCAACTACATAAGGAAGGTGAATGTCAAGGCTACAAAAACGAAACAAAAACAGAAAAAAAAGTGGCAGCAATTTTTTTTTTTTTAAACCAATTTGTACAAGTTTATAGTTTACTTTGTCTCCAAGTTCTCAAACCTTTCAAGATCTGAAAAGCGAGATACCGTGTGTCTACGGGAATGTCTTTTTGTTTTTGTTTTTTTAATTCACACCGAAGGGGCCGGGGGCGGGGTCTGATTTCTCGCGCCGGGGGGTGCGGCCGAGTCAACAGCTTACTCGGCTGGGCTGCTGTTTGCACACGAAGTCCGTCATGAAATCAAACTCGTTCTGCCCCAGCCAGAGTTCGGGCAGCTCCTTGATGCGGTCCAAGCCCATTTCTATCACCAGTGACATGAGCACTTCCTCGTCGATGAAATCAGTGTCTATGACATTGGGCGGCAGCATTG